TTAAGGACATTAGAAAATGTTAGTATAAAGGTAACCACTAAAACAAAGTTCCAAAATGTCCTAAATAACAAAGGAACAAAAACATCAAGGAACAGACCATACAGAGAAAAGAGATAAACTAAATATGGAAAGCACAGTAAATAAAACATAACGTGAGAGAGTTGAGACCAAATGTGTAATTTACATTAATAAATGTAAATGGTTTTAACTCACCTATTAAAAGAAAAAAATTTTCAGAATGGTGCTCAGAGTCAAACCCAGCTTTTACTGTGTACAGGAGACATACCTAAAATCAAGTGAATGAGAAAGACTAAAAATGAAAGGATGATCAAGGATATACAAAGGAAAGTCAAACAATATAATAGCGGAGATTGCAGTTCTGGTATTAGACAAGATAGAATTCAGACCAAGATTTATCAAACAAGACAAAGAAGCCACTTTATTTTAAAATGTTTAATGGTGACACAATTCATAATGAAAATTATGTAATAGTTAAAAATATTTCAGAACCAAATTACAAAGCATCTGTCTTCACAAAACAGAAATTATGGTAGGTGCAGGGAGATAGAGACGAACACACTAATAAATTTAACACACCTCTCAAGTCAAGGCAGGTGAAGAGAACAAAAAGTAAAGGTATTAAAGACTTTCTTTTCTATAAGTTGTACCAAAACATCTACTTAACTTCTTTGATTTGTACCATTCCTTCAAATAATTTGGTACCCCAAAAAAAAAAATTTAATGAATAAGGTAGATCATATATGTGTATACATATCAAACTTTATACCCTGCTAAATGCCCTTCTACATTGAAATCTAAAACTCTAAGCAACTCTTGTTTGGAAAGGGAAATATAAACCAAAATTGCAAAATTCCTAAAAAGTAATGATAATAAACATATATCAGAATTTTGAGATTAATTGAAGCAGTGGTTGGAAGAAAACTGATAGCTTTAACCACTTGACATCAATAAAACTGAAAGGATAAAAATTAAGGATGTAAATTCCCAATTCAAAAGACTAGAAAAAGAGTCTCACAATACAAAGAAAATAAAAAGAAAGAAGAAAAATAAAGATAAAACAGAGGTTAATGAGGTAGAAAATAAAAAAGCAATAAATCAAAATACTGGTCTTTTGGGGAAAAAATACACAACCCACTAGTTAGCCTATGAAAGAAAAAAAGGAATAAGCACAGATACACAAACGTAGAGATGACAAAGGGAGGAAATAACTCTATGTAAATAAAATAGAAAAGTGAGATGAAATAGTAAAATACTATTTGTCAAAATTGACCCCAATAGTGTTATAATATTTAAACAGATACATAAGAAACATATAAAAGTTTTCAAAAAATTGCACCTACAGCAAAGCACTATGTGCAGGTTATTTAACAGGGGAATCCTACAAAACCTTAAAGACCAGATTTTCTCCTTCTACTTGTTGTCAAAGTCAGTAATACCCAAAAGAACTTTCTGTGATGATGGAAATGTTTTGCATCTGTGCTGTCCAGTGTAGTAGTCACTAGCCACATGTGGCTATGGAGCAGTTGAAATGTGGCTACTGCAACTAAAGACCTAAATTTTTAATTTTGCTTAATTATAATCAAAGTTAAAAAGCTTGTGTGGCTGGTGGCTACTGTACTGGACAGTTCAGTTCTAGATCATAGAAAAGTAGGAAAACATGCAGGTTCTTTTTATGAAGCAGGTAGAATTTTGATACCTAAGTCCGATTTAAGTTACACACACATACATACAATTTCGTGTATGAATATTGCTATTAAAAATCTTAAAATATTAGGAATTAGAATTCAACATATTTATAACAATAATTTGTCAAAGCAAAGTAGTGGGTTTTTTTCTGTGAATGAAAAGAAGATTTAACTTAAGAAAAATCACCTGGATATGCACATACAAGAGAATGAAGCTGGACCTTACCTCCACACTAGATAAAAAAATTCACTCCAACTGGATGATAGTCCTAAATGTTGGAGCTACAACTATAAAACTACTGGGGGGAAATATAGGGGAAAAGCTTCATGATACTGGAATTAGCAATGATTTCTTGGAAATGACACCAAAAGCACAGGCAACAAAAAGAAAAAAAAATAGTTAACTTGGACTACATCACATTAAAAACTTGCTCATCAATGGACAATATTAACAGTGAAAAGAGAACTCACGGGATGGGAGAAAATATTTGCAAATCATGTATCTGATAAGAGGTTAGTATCTAGAATATTTTTTAAAAATTCCTTCAACTCAACAATAAAAAACAACCAGATTTAAAAATGAGCAAAGGACTTGAATAGACATTTCTCTAAATGGCCAATAAACACATGAAAAGATGCACAACATCACTAATCATTAGGAAAATACAAATCAAGACCACACTGAGATACTATTTCACACCCATTAAGGTGGCTATTATCAAATAGAAAATAAGAAGTATTGGTGAGGATGTGGAGAAATTGGAATCTTTGTGCACTATTGATGAGGATATAAAATGGTGCAGCCACTATGGAAAACAATATGGCGTTTCTTCAAAAACTGAAAAATAGAATTACCATATGATATAGCATTTCCGCTTTTGGGTATGTAGACAAAACAATTAAAAGCAGGGACTCAAGCAGATATTTGTATACCTGTGTTCAGAAGCATTATTCACAATAGCAAGAAGATTGAAGAAACCCAAATGTCTATCAGTGGAAGAATGGCTAAACAAAATGTAGCCTATGCATACAATGGAGTATTATTGAACCTTTTTAAAAAAGAAAGAGATTCTGACCCATGCTACAATGTAGATGAATCTTGAAGACATTATGCTAAGTGAAATAAGCCAGTCACAAAAGGACAAACTGTATGATCCCACTTAAACGAGATACCTAATTTAGGTAAATTCATAGAGACAGAAAATAGAATGGTGGTTGCTAGGAGCTGGTGGGGAGGGAGGAATGGCAAATTATTGTTTAACAGGTACAGAGTTCACTTGGGGAAGATGAAGAAGTTCTGGAGATGGACGGTGGTGATGGTTGCACAACAGTGTGAATGTACTTAATGCCACTTACTTTTGAGAAAGAGAAGGGGAAATATGTGTACACATGCACATTTTATACACGAAATTACATATTTTATATACTTAGTTTTATAAGAAGAAACACAGGAGTGTTAAACCAGAAAATAATGAAAAGGTCACCTATTGGGAGTGTCTGGGAGTAGGGTAGAAAGTATAGCAATGAGAGTGAGACTTCTCTGAGAATACTCTTTTATATTCTCTTAACTTCTGTGTTATGTAACTATTTTACTCAAAAAATAAAATGAAACCAGAAAAACAAATCATAACACAAAATTGATTACAAACAGCAACAAACTGAACTGTTTATCAAATGGATATCATAACAACATTGAAAAAAAGAATTAATTCAAATAACTTCAACACAGAACCTTCAGAGTATACCCTTAATGGGACATATTTCAAAGAAAAAAATGGAACTTCAAATAAATTCTGATGTTTTCTTAATCTTAGTGATTTTACCGTAATCATCTGAAGCTATTTTGCATACATTGAAGATAAAGCAAATGAGTAAATAAGATACAAATATGGGATGGGGGAAGATGAAGAACCTTGTAATACAGAATTTGAATGGGAGGTATCTATATGAACTCTTAACTTAAAAAATATATATAATTTTATATATACTTGTACTATAATTATATAAGCGCTATTCGTTGAAAAGGTCTAGAAGTAATGACACCTCACTACCAATGTGGTTTCTAAATCCCACTCTTCACTAGAAGGAATCATGGCTCCTTGGAGAAATGGCTGATTTCAAGACTGAGCAGAAGAGAAAATGTAAGGTGAATTTGGAACATTCTATTATGCCAGAAAGAAAAGAATTCTCAAAGAATGATGGGGACATATCAGAAGGACATAGGAGCCAGCTTGAAGGGGCTCTGACCAGCCAAAATTGGAACAATATAAATATCAGAAAAATAATGAAAACAAAAGAACAATGGTATTGGCATCCATGGGTCCCTAGTGTACAAAAACAAAAAAATTTTAGAGTTGCAGGGAAAGGTCTAATTACAGAATGCCAGCTAATAAATATAGAAAGAATGATAGAAAATTACCGTTTTGCAACCACCATTTCAGTTGGTTCAGGCAGGGATAATCAATGAATGCTAAAACCATTGGGTAAAAAAGCTTATCGGAGAATAGGATATTCACATAATCTCAGTGTTTTTCCCCACTGATTACCTATTAATTACAAAGGGAAATTATAATGAAGATATCCGTCAGTCACTCCTTAACAAGTGATCAAATTTAGTATCATCAATAATTAGATAAACTGACATTACGTGCTTCTTAAAGTAATGAAGTGAGAAGTATTCAAATCACTTGTATTTTTGTCAAAACTGTTTAGTATGAATGTAATCATAAGGAAACAATCAGAAAGAAATCGAAGTTGTGGGATATTCTATTAAACAGCTAGCCCACACTCTTCTTCAAAAATACCAGCTTCATGAAAAAAAAAAACAAAAGGCAACAGGACTGTTCTAGATTAAAGGAGCCTAAAGGAACATGACAACCAAATGCAATATGTAATTCTCGATCAGCTCCTGTATTTAAAAAATTAAACAGCTATAAAGGACATTTTGGGGACAATTGAGGATATTTTGAATTAAATTTCTTGGGTATGACATTACTGTTTTAAAAGAGAATGTCCTTGTTCTGAGGACAAATGTACTGATGTATTTAGGGGTGAGGTGTCACTGTGTCTCTGACTTCCTCATAGTTCAGAGGAAAAACTGTGTGTAGATAGATGGAAAGCAAATACGGTGAAATGTTACTAGTTGTTGAATTTAGGTGAAGGGTATATAGTTGTTCATGTACTGTTTTTGCTACTTTTCTCTAGGTTTAAGATTTTTCAAAATAAAAAGTTTAAATAAATTATGTATATAATTATACATATATATGTGTGTGTGTTCATGTTCCCCAGGCCTCCTCTGGACCTCTCCCCAGAGTTGCTGAATCAGAATCTCTAGGTAATGGGGCTTGGGATTCTGCATGGTAAAATGACTCTCCCGAGACTCTAACAGAATTGGTCTATATTTGGGAAACATTGCCCTAGAAGAGCATTCTTCTGTAAAATCTTGTATGATGTGTGTGTGTGTGTGCGCGTGTGCGTGTGTGTGTGCTGTTCACAAAGGGAACATTCATATTCCCTTGCAGAGTCCTCCGGGGGAAAAGGTGGAAAGGTAGAATGATCCTCAGATGACATTATTAACTCAATGCTGCCAACCTTTTCCTCACACTCCCTTGTTTCACTGACCTATTCTACTCAAGACTGATTATTTCTTCTAAACAAGACTATTTGGATCACTAGTTCTCAAACTTGGCTGCCAGTTAGAATCACCCAGAGACCTCTTAAAAATTTCAGTGCCTAGGCCTTACCTCAGATCAGTTAAATCAGAATTTATGATTCTGGGTGGGACCAGTGTAGTCTTTAATGCTCCCTCAGGGGATTCCAATGTCCACGTTTGAGAGTCCCTGGTCTAAAACAGAAGCTGGCTTCTGGTGAGGGCCCTAGTCAAGTGTGTCAGGATCCCAGGACAAAGTGCCTAGTCAGCAAACGTGGTCACATGCTCTGGGGTCTATGTGGTACCTTGACTTGAAAAGAACCCTTTGTATATTCCTGTCACTGATCAGTCTTTCCACTTGCTAAGTAGCCTCCAGGGCCTGTCAATAGAAAGGGGGTTTTAAAAAGATACACATCTCATTTTGTGATCACAGAACTTGAACTCTATTAAAACCTCTGGGGTGGTCAACCCAAAAATTTGGAAGTTACTTTAACCATGGTGTCTTAAAAATATTCACTAAACCCCCTCTTCTCTACAGCAAGGACCCTGCCAGACCTATGTACACATATACCTATCTCAAGATTAGTCACAACCCCCAACCCCAGTTAAATCAATCTGAATTAACTTGTGTTTGCGAGTGTATATGGGAGTGTACCACCGATATGGGGATAGAGACCTATCAGAACTAAACGGAATCCAGACTTCCCAGATAGTCAGGGCAGATACTCCTTCCTCAGGGAAGACAGTGTGGTCGGCACCTCTCTGCCTGTTTCACTTCTCCTTTCTTTCATGCGTGGGGTAAAATTGCGATCGTCCACTTAACCCCAGTCTGGAAGCACGGCTTTAGGTCAGTGTCACCATCTGACAAATACAGAAATAAGGAAAGGGAAGTAAGTTGTCCAGGGTTGTACAGTGAGTTCGTGGCATATTTCTGCACATGAATTTGTAGATGTACATATATGTGAAGCTCCTCTGGGAGAAGAGAATGAGTTGGGAATCATCTTGACAGCCGTAGAGTCTAATAACTTCACAAAGCTTGGAATTATTAGATGCGACAATGGCAGAGTAGGGAGTGGAGCCCACAACCACGTGGTTCCTGGGGTGAGTGCTGTTCTGTTACTCGCCACCAGAGGGCATGAACTTTGATTAAATCCTAAACCTGGCTGATCTGCATCTAAGTCCAGAGCTTCTTCAGGTCAAGGTTGGTTTAAACAGCTGGATCCTAACTTATTCAGTAGTCCCATTGTCTTGGGAATATCTGGAAGCTCCTTATAACTGGTTCTTTATAAATATTTTTTAAAAGAAATCCTAAGTAAGCACAGAACATTTGCAGCATGCCTGGGTTTAGAATTAAAGAGATCTGGCTTTGTCATATTAGCTCAGCCACTTACAAGTTTAGTTATGTGGCCACTGGTGAGTTGCTCTTCCTTGACTTTTAACCTTGAATTTCAATTGCCTCACCTGCCAGATCATTCATAAACTCTGCCACACCTGGTTTTTGTGGGTATTAAATGGAATAACATGGTAAAGTACGCATCGATTCTTGGTACCTGTTTACTAAGTGGAGATTTTTCCTTTGTTCAATAAAAACTCTCATGGAGTTTATATTTTAGTTGGAAAAGACATACACACCACAAAGAAAAAAGAAAGAAAATCCAGACAATGATAAGGGCTAAGGACAAATAAAAGGGAGCAGGATTTAGGTAAGATGGTCTAGGAATGCCTCTCTGAGGAGATGATATTTCAGCAAAGAACTAACAAAGATTTGAGAAAGGGAAGGGTGTTTGAGGCAGAAGGACACAGCTTGATGTGTTTGAGAAACAGAAAGATCAGTGAATGGGGGGCAGAGGAGTGACAGGAGATGAGTTATAAGAAGTAAGCAAGTTCCATACCATGTAAGCCTTGTTAATATACCTGAAGACCATAGATTTCTTTTGTGTTGTGGGATGTAAGCATAACAGTGATGTGATCTGATTTATATTTAAAAACACACACACACACACAAACATATCATTCTGGCTGTTATGTGGAGAATAGACAGTAGGGAGACAAAAGTAGAGGCAGAGAGTGTAGCTAGAAGGCTGTTGGAATATTCTAGGCAGAGTGTGACTGGGCCTTAGATCAGGGGTGGTCCTTGGTGGGTGAGAAATCTTGAGTGGCGAGAGATGGTTTGAAGATCCACATGCTGTCAAGTCTTGCTGACTAATTGTATTTGAGGGGTGCTAGAAAGGAAGGAATCAGAGGTGACTTTTAGGCCTTTTGGTCTGAGTCACCTGGGTTTAAATAAATGGTACCATTCAGTGAGCTGAAATGACTGGAGAAAAGAGCAAGTTGGGGTGGGCAGCAAATCCAGAGTTCTGCTTGAAATGTACTCATTTTGAGACCTCTTAGCATCCAAGTAGACTTGCAGAACAAGGCAGTTGGAAATACGAGCATGAAACTCAGGACAGAGGTTTGAGCTGGGGATATAAATCGTCAGTCCTATTTTCCAAGAGACTGGAGACCAAGAAGAAGAGAACAAGGGCCGAGCACGGAGGTGCTCCCATTTTCAGAGGTTAGGATTTCTGACCCACCTGTTCTTTTCCTCCCAAGCACCCCAGGCCATTGTTTAATTCAAGGAGATCCTCAGATTACTCTTTTTATTCTTCTTCTCTTCCCTCTTACACAAATTTATGACCCAAGCTCCTTTTACCAGTAAAAACAGTATGGTAAGGCTGAGTGATGAAATATTTGAAGACGTTAATGTGCTGACTTATAATGAAGGTTCTGGAGACAGAGGAATTGGGCTTAAATCCTGCCTCTGCTGTTTACTAGCGTAGTAACCTTGGATATTTTACTTCCTTTCTCTGAGCTCAGCCTTTCCATCTGTAATGGCTAGCATTTATCTAATGCTTGTTATATACGAGGCTGCGTTTTAAGTCTTTCACATGTCTTAACCTATTTTAATCCTTAGAACAATCCATTGACATAGTTACCATTTTTATCCCACTTTATTGTTAAAGAAACTAAAGCCAGAGAGAGCTTTTGTAATTTGCCATAAGTTACACATCAGGTAAGTGGCAGAGCTAGATTTGAATCGAGGCAGCCTGGTTCCCGAACCAGTGCTCCTTTTCTCGTATCTAATTCACAGAGCTGTAATAATGATTAAATGAGGCAACCCACTTAGAGTGCATATAGCGTATAGAGCCTGGCACAGCATATGTGCGTAGTAAATGTTTGGAAGGCAGCATAGTATAGATAGTATAGTGAAAGAGAACCAGATGAAGAGCCCTAGGGCTCCAGCCTGATTCTACAAGAGCAACTTATGTGACCACACATAAGTGTCTTAGCCTCTCTCGACTTCAGTTTTGTAATCTGCAACATAAAATCTTTGTACTATATGGTCTCTGAGGGCCCTTTCCATGTTGAAGTGCTATCTGTGACTGCCCAAGACAGATTATGGATACATTTGAATTTGGAGGGGGGTCCCACATCACCTTAGGGGTTGGGGAATAATGTCCCTCAGTAATTCCTTGGGTTGGTAACATTTCTGTGTTGCCCTGCTACTCTTGAAGGAACTTGCTAGGAGGTAGTGAAACAGAATAGTTAAGAACCATGAGGTCTGGCTTGAGACCATCATATATTGCAATCTTCATCACTTACTACCCTGAACAAGGTATTTATCTTGAGTTTCCATTTCATCTTCTGCAAACAAAGGATAATAATAGTACATACCTCGTGGTGTTATTTCAGATATCCAGAAAGAAATTGCATGTGAAGAATTTAATACATAATAAGCAGTCAATATGAATTAGCTATTATAATATTAAAAGTGTTCCTAGAGCTGAGAGGACTTTTTTTTTTTTTTTCTTTTTTTTTTTTTAGCTCTTCAAGTTCCAGGTGAGATAGAAGCTCCGGAGTAACCCATTCCTAAAAAAATGGAATTGGTAATTACATGGCAAGGCACTTGTTGGGAACTAAGGACATGAATCTGAGTGTTCTGATCCTGCAGTCATTCCTCCTACTCCTCCCTTTTATCAAGGTATAGCAAGCACTTCCCTAGAACAGTTGTGCCTTGCCTCGCCTTGCCCGGAGGTTTAGTGGACAATTCACGGCACATCTGCTCTAGGTCTGACTTGCATCAGCCCTTGTCTGACCTCAGGAGAGTTTTTCCCTCACACACAGACCAGGCCTGAATTTCTGAAGAAATTTAATTAATTCTTTTTTTTTTTTTTTACCCTGATCAAAGGAAAGTGGTAGTCAAGACTCCTTTGGCTGTGAGTACAAAAACTCAACTCAAACCAGGTTAAAGGAGGGGAAAGGAGGAAGCAGGAATTACTGACTCCGTATGGCCAAGAAGTTAAGGCCTGCTGCTGAGTGTATTTGGACACAGGGTTTTAAACACTCTCATGGCTCCCCATCCCTTGCTTTACCTTGGCTTTATTCTCAGTTATGTTCTCCATATAGCAGTGCCAAACCTACAAACATCCTTCTAGGCATGATCTCAGGAAAAGAAAGACTCTCCTCCAACATGCCTATCATGTCAGAAAACAGTTGCCCCAACTTGGGACATACATACACACTCTTGGTGGGGGGAGTCTGATGCCTGCAAATGGCATCATATTCTGTTCCATGGCCAGGTTGGTACAGTCACACGATAGACACCCCCACTGAAGCACATAGAATTTTTCCAGAAGGAAAAAAGACGAGGCAAGCAAAAAAGTAAAACAATAGCAGTTTTAGGTGAAGTAATAGGAACATCCACATCGCTGTCACCATTGTTGATATAAATGAGCTGTCCCAGGACCTCTCCTGACCTTGAGGAGCTCAGCTTAGCCTAGCCAGCTTTGAGACACAAAGTTTCCATCATATGGGGTGGTAACTCTCTTATTTCCATTTTCTTCTCTCTTCATGTTCTCCCCCTTAATTATAGTTATTAATTAATACTTAACCCCCAAAGCTGATTCTTCCTTTTTCATTTTACCTGCACACTAATAGTTTAGCATAATCCACAGTGTGGACTGAAGGGTCCAATTGCCTGGGTTTCAATTCTTTCTCATTTGCTCACTTCGAAATCTTAAGTTTACTTTATACCTCTCTTCTCATCTATAAAATGGAGATAATATCTACCTCCCTGGTTTGTCTTGAGGAGTAGTAGATGGTCTGTGGAAAGTGATCGGCACAGTGTCACATACACAGTAAAGTCCTCAGGAATAATAGTTGTTGTTACTTCCAGCTCTGCAGCTTTGATGCAGCCTGTCTGTTGTTTTGTCAGGAATGGGAAGCTGAGGTTGATGGGGAGACTATTAAAAAGCACTAGTTTTGAGTATCTCAGGATAGTTGAAGCCAAATAGAAGGAAGCATTCAAAGTTCTATTTGGAAGACTGAACTACAATAACAATCTTATTTTTACAATTTATTTATTAAATGATACATTCTTACTGCTTCTACTTGCTGAACGACAATGGACAATCTCTAGGCTTCTTTTTACTCTTTTGGAAAATGTGTATTTTGGGAGAGGATTATCCCTTCCATCTTCATCATTGTCTGATCCTTAATTGTTTAAGTAAAAATGAGTATCAGAAAGTGTTTTGTACTGTATGTGTGTGTGAGAGAGAGAGAGAGAAAGGAAGAGAAAGTGAGACAGAGAGAAATAGTGAGTTAGTTTATATTGAAATAAACCAAAAAGATTTACTTGTATATTGGATGTATCAGTTGACATATTTGGTTTCTTCTTAAGAGATTATCCTATCCCCTTTCACACTCTACTGTCTAGATCATTTCTAAGTATTGGTTAATCCTACCTCACATCTATTTTGGACTTTTCAAGGAAAGCTCTTTAGACCTTATAATATATATTTTATAATATTTGTCATAGAGTCAGAAAAGTTGGTTGGGGACTTTGTCCCACTGCTTACTCTGCAACATTACATTGGGCATGTTACGTTCCCTCTCCTGTGCCTCATTTCCTCGGCTGTCTAATGAGGCATTTCTTCTATTTAACCTTTAAGTCCTTTCCTAACAGTCTGTGATTCTGTAACTATCACAGCATAGGTTGTGGCAGGAGTAGCTGGATTCCCAAGGGAAAACTTGATATCACCACTCCCTTTTGAAACATATTTTTTATCTGTTGCCCATTATGTTTGCTGCAGGATTTCGGCTGAATGCCTCCTCTTGGCCCATGTTCCTTTTGAAGACACTAAATGGAGCAGAGATGGCTCCCATCAGGATTTTCCACAAGGTATGGTGTCCTTCAGATATCACCACTTGCTTAAGGTCAAATGCTTACATTCTTTGATTTACTAAGCCCCTGATGTCTACTTTATATTTATGGCCTGAGGATGCCTTCTCAGAAACTAGTTCAGAGGGAGGATTTTTAGTATCTTAGGAAGCAGCAACTGTCTCTGGAGGAAATTTCACTATAAGTCAGGATTCCTGGGTTTTGGGTCCCAGCTCTGCCAATAATAAGCAGTGTCCTTTTGTCCTCACCTGTAAGTGGGATTTTGTCTCACAGGGTTGTCAAGAAGTTAAAATGTATTTATCAGAAAAACACATAAAATAAAACATAAATCTAAAGGAGCTGTTCTCATCCTAGATCTTTGAATTCCCTAAGGTCCATATGCTAAACAAAGAGAAAGGAAGGAGACTATTTTTTGAATGTCTACAGTATGTTTAGAGTTGATATACACCATCTCATTTAATATCCACAGTTAACTTTCTGAAGCAACAATTACAATTTCCATTTAATAGTTGAGGAAACAAATACTTTTGAATAAAGAACTTGCCCAAGATCACATGGCTAGTAAGTGGTGGAAGAGGGATGTAAAACCTGTATCCATTCTTCCTTGTTTCTTAAGGCATGAAGCAATCAGTCTGTCAGCTGAATTCTTTAATGAGGTAAAGGAGACTGAATTAGAGTTGCCTATGCTGCTAGTTAAGTCTAAACCCTAAGAGCACTACATGGTTCCCAGAATATAGTGTACTGGGCATCTTAAAAACCCTTTCACTACAGAATATATCAAAATGGTGGGCTGGTGGGAGCTGGAGGGAGACCAACAAATACTCTTACATGCTTTGCCAAGCTACCAGAAAGTTAGAAAACTCTCCAGAGGCCAGAATGAAGAAGGACATCCAGTGTTAAGTGTATATGGTGCACCTGTAAATGCCTTAAGGGGCATTGCCAGTCTTACTTTCTAGGGATCTTGTCTTTTAACAGCCACAGTAGGATAGATGAGCACTTGGGCCCATGCAAGGCAGGGAAGCGGGCCTGAGACTGCCACGTAGACAACCAGATCAGGTCCCTCAACTGGTTACTCCTTATTGGAAAGACTGTTAACACCGGTGAGGAAAGTCTCTGGGTTCTAGGGAGGGGTGAAAATGGAGTCACTTTCTCCAATAAAGCGGTCTTCACCCATGTAGGTCCATGATTCAGATATAGTGCCTGTGTTGTCTGGGAACTTCAGAGCTATATGGAGATATTTCTGAGTGCCTGCAGAGGCAAACCCAGAGCCTCTCCAGATGGTTTGGTTGCTTTCAACCCAATGTCATAGACGTCCCAAAAGTGAAGCACCACTGAAGATGAGTGTTCATTTCAGAATTTCAGAGCCCTCAAAAACTCTCAAAACAAATCCAACATGATGGGACATCGGTAGACCCAACAAACAGTAAGGCTATAACCCAATGGCTTTCAGATAATAGAAACACCAGATAGAGATTATAAATTAAGTATTTAAAAATGATTAAAGAACGAAAAGAAGGACTTTAAAAATTGAGAGAAGTACAAAACCCTATTTCTGAAAATATTGAAAACAAATTGAACATCTAGAAATGAAACTTAATGATTAAAAGAACAAATTAATGAGTAGGTATATAAGAAACTAGGACTTAAAGAATTAACTGAAAGACAGGTATAAGGACTTTCCCCAGAGCGCAGTGCAGAGAGATAAAGAACTGGAAAATATTAAAGAGAAGAGACAGGAGAGTAACATTAGAAGGTCCAATATATGCTGAATATGAACTTCAGAAAGATTAATTAGAAAGAATAGAGAATAAGGGTATTCAAGAAGATATTAGCAGAATTTTCCGGAGTTGTGTAATAAAGACAAATACATACCTTAAAACATCACGATATGATTGAAGTCCAAAGGAAAGATCTGAACAAGTAATCACACAGAACACCTTCCAAAGGATTACAGGTAGGCTGGCAGCACATTTCCAGACAGAAGCAGTACCAACCAAAAGATAATAGAACAGTATCTTCCAAGTACTGAGAAAAAATTGTTGTCTACCTACAATTTTATATCTAGCCATATTATTATTTCAGAATGAATGTAAAATCAAGACATTTCCAAACAAACTATACAAGTAGTTACTAACATAGACGCTGAAAAAACAACTGAAAATACATTTTCAGGAAGAAGATAATTGAACCCAGAAAGTAAGAATGAAGAAGTAATGGTGAGGAAAGATTGCTTAACATGTGGGTAAAGCTAATCAAGCAGTGCCTATAACCATATAAACTAAGTATAATAACAATGTGGAACTGAATTATCAAACACTTATTAACTCAGGAGTAGGTAAAATAGTCTAAGGTCCTTATATTGCTTGGGACTATACATAAAGACGAATTTAGATTTAATTATGTCAACTATCCAGTTACAAATCTTAAGGGGATGATCCACTGAAAGACTATAAATAGAATGGTTAACATCTGAATCAATGGAACAGTGGGAAGGGAAGAAAATTCAATTGATTGTAAAGCGGAAAAAGGAACCTGGAAAAATCAAGTTACATAGAAAGTAAGCAATATGATAACTGTAATAAATTTAAATATGTCGGTTATCACAAAAATGAGCTTAAACTCATCAGTTCAGACATACAATTAGATTGTTTTTAAATCTAACTACGTGCTGTTTACAAGAGACACTGCTGCAATATGACACTAAAATGTTGGAAGGAAAAGCAAAGATAACACTAGGCAAATCTTCATCAAAATAAAGCCAGTGCTAACCATACTGACATTAGGCAAGGAGACTTTGTTGCTGAAAGACATTCTAAAGAGGCCACTATCTAATGATAAAAGAGTACATGCTCCTGAAAAACATTGCCTCAAATATGAAAGCAGAATTTGATAGAATTTGGACAAATTGGAAAATCTACAATTGCTACGGGATATTTTAGTACATGTCTCTCAGTAATTGATAAATCAAGCAGACAAGGAAATTGACATATGAATCAGCATAAGCTACTTATTAAATCAGCTGATCAGTTTTAAAAAATCAGTTGCATTTCTATTTAATAGCAACAAGTGGCTTGAAAAATAAAATTTTAAAAGATAGCACTTAGGATAGCAATAAAATTATAATATGCCTAGAAAAATGTTAGTAAAAAGCATGAGATATTTATAGAGAAAATTTAAAAATTCATATTAAAGAAGGAATCTGCATTAAAGAATGCTTAATAAATGGAAAATACTATCATGTTCATGGATGAGAAGTCTAAATATCGTTTATACAAAGGTTATTTCTTCCTAAATTAATCTATAAATTCCCTGGGATTCCAGTCAAAATCCAAATAAGGGTTTTCTGTGGACTTGAAAAGCTGATTCTATGAAACCAGCTTTCATATGAAAGATCATATGAAATTCATGTGAAAGATCAAGGAGAAAGAATAGCCAAAGCCATACTAAAAAATGACAAAGTAGGGGACTTTTTCTACCAGATATCCATTTAATAGGATGGTGTTACTGGTGCAGGATCAGAGTGTAAGACCAGGGAAAGAACAGACTGTACAACACTTTTTGGGAACTTTATCTTTGCAACTACATTGCAAATCCACACTGCTGGAGAGAGTGTGCAATGCTACAACCACTTAGGAGGGCAATTTGACAATATTAATAAAGCATAAGATGTATATACCTCTCCTATAACCCAGAAATTCTATTCTTGCATATGTACCCTAAAGTAACCCTCCCACATGTGCGCAAAGGAACAGGTGCAAGAATGGTCATTAAAACTCTTGAAATAGTGAACAATTAGAAATGACCTTAAATGTCTGTCAGAAGAGAATGAATACAATGAATCGTGGATCACCACATCAAAAACTAATGATGTATTGTATGGTGATTAACATAACATAATAAAATAAAATTTAAAAAAAAATTAAGAGAATGAATAAGTAGTGATATACACATATACTGGAATACTGTTAGCACTTGAAATGGATTGGAAGCTGGATTTACCAATGTAGGTAAATTTCAAGAACACAATGTTAACGACAAAAAAGTTGTAGAATATGTACGGTATAATACCATTTATATAAAATTTTAAAGTATGCAAATGGATATGAATATATATAGTAAAATATGAAAACGTGCATGAGGAATGGGCACAAAAGGGATTCAACTTTGTTACCTTTTATTTCTTAAAAAAAAAGTCTGAATCAAAAATGGTAAAATGTTAGGACTTAAGAAGTAATACTTTGGTACCCTTTGAAATTCGTTTAAAACAAAGACTAACCTTCATTATAAATCTTATAGAGCAGCTGGTCACTTAGTCACCATCCAAATTTGGTAGCGGTCTTTTGGCCCACAGCATCCTCTGTCTTTGCATCGAGGTCTGCATATTTCTGTTTCTCATCTAGGAACCACCATCGCCTTCCCACAACTTCTTCAAAATGGGAATGAAGCTAGAAGCTGTGGACAGGAAGAACCCTCATTTCATTTGCCCAGCCACTATTGGGGAGGTGCGGGGCTCAGAGGTGCTTGTCACCTTTGACGGGTGGCGAGGGGCCTTTGACTACTGGTGCCGCTTCGACTCCCGGGACATCTTCCCTGTGGGCTGGTGCTCCTTGACCGGAGACAACCTACAGCCGCCTGGCACGAAAGGTAAAGGCTCATCTGTGAGCTCTTGAAATCAGGACCCAAGTTGGGAAGGGGGATTGCCTGGATCTGCCACGGGCAGTGTCTCTTCGATAAACCTCACTAGTAGGCAACTGAGGTAAAAACCAAAGTCTACCTGAGAGTAATCAGAAACAATAAGAGTTAAATGTCAAAGGAAGCTAGATGTGGAGTTTGGGATAAAGTAAAAGTTCCTCGCTCTCAATATCCTGGTTTATTCTCAGGCACCTAGCCTCTCCTCTCTGTCACTTTGGTTCCTGACCTGGTTCGGAGTTTGAGTAGTATCATCTTGGGGTGCACTTCTGTGTCAGGACTCAGGGGCTTTGTATATGAGCTGGAGTAGCACCATGTCATCAGAACACTTGAGAAGCACTGTAGCACAACGGGAAAAGCATGAGCTTGGCATCAAGACAGACTTAGGTTTGAGTCCCAGCTCTGCCTTTTTTTACCAGCCGCGCGGCTTTGGGCAGTTAGTTCACCTCTCTATACCCCAAATTCCTCGTCCGCAAGCGAACACCTACTTCATAAAGTTATTGTGAGGAATAAGTGACATAACATGGGTAAAATGCTTACATAAAATCTGGCAAATAGCCAGTGCTAAACAAATGTTTTTATTATATTGCTGCTATTATTACGGTTATTATATGCTATATTATATTTATTACAATTACTATATAATGTATATTATATTATGCCACATTATTATTATTATGCTATCATTATAAAAATAACCACTCCCAGTGGAAGAGTATATATAAAATACTGGAAGAGTACCACAGAGTAGCTGAACAGTAAATTATATTTCTAATGATGATGATGTTGGACATCATCCAGGATAGAGTTTGAGATAGCTGCATCTCATCCCTGATGTCTAAAAGTACTAGTTAATCTGAGGAGCTAGAAAGCCACCCTTTGTATTGTCTGTCAGTCTCTTTTCTTTTTTTTTTTTTTTAAAGATTT